GAGATCAAGCAGAACTAGCGAAGGTATCAAGGCAGAGTGGCAGAAGGGGAAAGAGGAAAACCAGGAGATAAGAGGGTCTAGGAAACAAAGTGGAGAAAGTGTTTTAAGGAAGAGGGAGGGGTCAGTTGTGTCAAATGATCAGAGAAATTTTGGTGGAGTGGTGAAAGTAAAAAAATGATCATGCTTTCAAGAGAGAATGAGAGGAAAGAAACTAAAGACAGCACATAAAGACAACTTTTTCAAGGAGAGAAATGGGGTGGTAGCTGGAGAAGGAAGTGGGGTCAACAAAAGGATTTTTTTGGTAAGGTGGGAGAAATAACAGCATGATTATATGCTGATGAGAATGATCCAGAAGCATTTCTTCATCTGTAAAATGCAGAAATGATAGAATCTATCTCATTGTGCAGCTAAGAGAATTAAATATGATAAAGCCTGTCATGGAGTAACTGCTCAGTATGTGCTGAGTGCTGTTCATGGAAATCACAGCCCATCCTCAGACCAAGGAGGAGAAAGAGACATGAGCAGAAGCTGGCAGTGCAGTGTGACCACTGCCTCTGGAGATTTCCATGGGCTGCTGGGGAATTTGGAGGAAGAGCCCTGGGAGGTGGACTAGGGTGTTGGGATCCCGTAAATTAAGTGGCAAAATAGTGGGACCAAGTCTCCTGCCACATCAAGGAGGCTAGAGGGAGACTTGAGCTTGCCTGAAAGTAAATAGGAGCTGAGGATTTAATCTCATATGTTATTTTGTTTTCAGTCTGATTTTCCCTGGTGTTCGCTTAGCCTCTGATAGCCAATTCAGCGATTTTCTGGATGGCCTTGGCCCTGCTCAGCTAGTGGGACGCCAGACTCTGGCTACACCTGCCATGGGTAAGGATTCTGTCACATGATTTTACTGTTTTTCTTTAAATTATTGAAAATTACATTCTCTAAATTTCATAGAATCTTTAATAATATTTTCAGCAGGAATAAAGTATCCTAGATTTTAATAATTAAAAAAATCTTTTTTTCTTTGTATTTTAACTTCTAATGCTTTTTAAAGGAAGACATCATTAATAAAATTTTAAATATATCTGAATATAAGAAAATATATAGGAAACGATGTTAAACCAAGGTGGCACAAGCATTTTCCTTACTGCATTTGTATATTGAAGCGTGTTTGTTTCTTCCCCACACACCATTAGGTGACATTCAGGTAGGAATGATGGACAAAAAGGGACAGTTGGAGGTGGAAATCATCCGGGCCCGTGGCCTTGTTGTAAAACCAGGTTCCAAGACACTGCCAGGTAAAAACAGAGGAGATTTTTCTATTATTATCTACAATCCACATTGTTTCAATTTAGAGTCTGTTTTTCATTAGTCGCTGAAAACTTTGTTTTTAATTAATCGAGGTTACTAATAGATGAGTCAGTTATAACTGGTGTAGGGCTGAAGTAGTTTGTGTATTTTCTCCTGAATGAGTGTTCAGTGAGGGTGATCTGGTAGGGATAATATAAGTTGTTAAATAAGTACATATGTAGTAGAAACCACTGCAAAATAAAAACTAGCGGACATAGATAATTCATTTTGTCACAACACGTATATAAGAAGTTCTTTTTTTGTTGTTGTTAGCTAGTGTTTTGTGTCATTATTCAGTTTATCTAGAGCTTCTCCTTAGAAATTCTTAGAGCTCTGGAATTAGGATAAAAATAGATAAAGTCTCCTATAGTAGCATAATCCTATGTATATTTGATAATCTAATTATATGACTTTTACTTCCTGTAGTATATAAGGAAAGAAAGGCATTATTATAACTTCTTATGCTACTTATCATACTGAAATACATTATAATCTAAGGTGCTTGAAACCATGTAAAATGCCACAGTGATTCTGAATTCATTATGTAGAGGCCGTTTGATCAGATGTATAAAATAATTACTGATGTTTCTGAAACTTGGCTTCTAGCCTCAGCACCTCCACTGACTGACTTGTAATTTCGAATCTCTTAACTTCTCTATCCTTGCAGAAGTTTTAAATTATAATATAAGAGGGCTGTTCAGAAAGTATCCAGCCATTGTTAATATAAGGAGAGTGGTTACATGGCTGGATACTTTCTGGACAGCCCTTGTATATTACCTGTTGTACAACCTTGCACTAGTGATTAAGATAACTGTGTTTGTACAGGTCTTGGAGCTAGTCAACTTACTCTGCTATAAAGAATATTATGATTTATACATGCATGAAATGGTTTTTCTGAAGTGTCTTTCAGATAAATTTTAAGCCATAGAATTTATAATCAGTTGTCTTTTCTATAATTTGTACATATTACATCAAACCCCACCCCTGTCTTATACCCACACCATCACCAATATGTAAATGCTTTTGGGTGATGATGAGTGATTTCGGTAGATGAGTGGGTAAAACAATACAGTTTCATGCGTGTTTAATTAGATTTAAGTATTGATAAATGAAAGACTGAGTAAGACATGTTTCTTGAATATCGTTAGGAACTAGAAGCATTTCACCTTATTTAATGCAATGTTTAAATCTGTATAACCAGTTGGTGGCAAAATAATAATACACTCAGAGTTATATCAGCATCCCCTAAAACTCTCTGAATGACTGACAATTATCCATTATCTAGTGATTTTGACAGAATGTGGCAAGGCCAGTGACTTGAATGCTAGCTCTTTTACCCAAAGATCAAGCTGTTGCAGATGTCACTGTGAGGTGGTCATTCCAGATCCATAGTTCATCACTTATTCTCCTCTGTTTTCTTTCCCAAGCACCATATGTAAAGGTGTATCTTCTAGACAATGGAGTCTGCATAGCCAAAAAGAAAACAAAAGTGGCAAGAAAAACGCTGGAACCCCTTTACCAGCAGCTATTATCTTTTGAAGAGAGTCCCCAAGGAAAGGTTTTACAGGTATTTACTTAATTGTTTATCCCTTACCTAAGAAAATATTTTCGTGGAGTAAGACCTTGTACCGAAATCTTTTTTTAGTACATTCTTTTATGTCCCTCACAGCTGAAATCCTTTGGAAACTTCAGAGCAATGGTCAATGCTATAAAACTACATACATTGTCGCTTTCCTTAAAGTGAATTATAGACTTGCAAATCCCCATTGCCCATAAACTCCAATCTCCCTGAACTCTACAGTACAGTTTTCCTAATTTAACTTTGGATTCCAGTAGTTAAAGACAACCATTCCGTTAATCAAAGCAATTATTTAACTTGATTTTTGATGTCAGAACATTAACTGAATGTATGTTAGTATTTTACTGTAGATTTTTTGGTACATAATTACATTGGTACATAATTACATGATTATACTGACATTACTCAACTTTTTATTTTGCCAACAGATCATTGTCTGGGGAGATTATGGCCGCATGGATCACAAATCCTTTATGGGAGTGGCCCAGATACTTTTAGATGAACTAGAGCTATCCAATATGGTGATCGGATGGTTCAAACTTTTCCCCCCTTCCTCCCTAGTAGATCCAACCTTGGCCCCTCTGACAAGAAGAGCTTCCCAGTCATCTCTGGAAAGTTCAACCGGACCTTCTTACTCCCGTTCATAGCAGCTGTAAAACTGTTGTCACAGCAACCAGCGTTACAAAAAAAAAAAAAAAATCACAGGTCGCAAACCCTGGTAACACTGCATGCTTAATGTTGTGTCTTCTGAGCCTGTTTCTAGGGATACAAAGCGATCCTGTGTTCTCAGAGGAAGTTGCACACATTGTGCCCTAAAGAAAGCCCTCAGGTGAAAGAGCAGAGACATGAAGAACTATCAGGTTTGGAGTTCAGTGACACTCGAGTTTCGGTCCAATCTGAAGCCATGGATTAATCTCAAAGAACCAGTCAGTTTCATGCAACAAAAGCCCTTTTCAATGGCACCTTTATATTTTTATCGTTCCTTTTTCTTCATTTATCTGACCCCAGAGCCCTGTTATGCCACAGGAATGGAGCTGTACAGCCATTAAGCCATGTTACAGGTCAAGGAGTGAAGTCCTAGGAAGCATCAGGTAAAAAGCAGGAGACCAAAGAAGTGGTCGGGAACAAAGCGTCAGCCTTCCTCTGGCCAGGGATCCGAAGCGGCCAGTCCGGCGGGAAGAGTGGCAGATTTCCGTAGCTCCACAGGCGTGACATTTACTAATGCCAAGATGTGTTGAACTCTGGAAAACAATTCTGTGGCTACACTGTACTGAATGAAATTAAAGAAACTTTTTTTGCATGGACACAGATTAGCTGAATACTTAAATTATTTTCTTGGGGCTGCACCTTGCAAAAAATAAAAATAAAAATCAGCCATTTTCAACAATTTATATTATTTTTAAAAATAAATTTCACTAGTGCATGGTTTTAAAAAGGGGAGAGAATGCAACAGGGTGATACAAAGACACACCATGTTTATTCTTTAAACCAATCATAGTCTGTGTTTTGGCAGACATTACAAATGAAAATACTTTCTAGAAGATACTTAAAATTCTCTTTATGTGACAAATACGTATGATATATTCAATTTATTTCCATGTTAAATATACAAATCTTATGAAGTTCAATATGTGCAAATTTTTCACATCTTTCTTCCTCTTCTCTCACTTTTCCTCCTCTCCCTCTTTTAATCTTCTATTTTCTTCCTCCCTACCAGAGTGAACCTTATACTAAAAAATTATAAGTTTTTGATCTGATCCTCTCTCATACCCTGTGGTTGATTCAGAGCTGTAAGATGCTTCTGAATTTCTCAAGGGAAAAAACTGTCTAAGAGCTTTCTTTATTTCAAGCATGTTGAAAAGGATTTTGCAACATGACTTGGGAGTACATTAAAGTAAGTCAGCATGTATTTGACAAAGAAGATATTTGAACTTTTGCAATTTACTGTACAGTGCATGGTAATTTTTTTCACCTTTAAAATTCAGTTTACAGGAAAATCCAAAAATCATGTGGCCATTGTAATGTCTAATAAATTTGTTTTTAGCACCAGCATTATTCATACAGGGGTTAAAGTATTATTTGTAGAAGGTCTTAGGTTTTGTTTGTGTTTTAATTAGTTAAAACAATTTCTTTAGCCAATTTCATTTACTATGTGAATAGAAGCACTGCTAAAAATTTGGAGCCCTGAAACACAGGGCTGTTTATTAATTCATTTTTCTGTAGTAAAATTGAATTTTTCACAAATTATATTTCTAAAGAAATATAGCAAACATAAATTTGCAACAAACAATTTTAAAGCTCCAATTTTTAGGTGACTCAAAGGAAGTCATTATGCCTATTACTAGTTCTTTGATGCCATCACCAAAAGTCTACATGAAAATCCCCTAAAGTTGAAACCCCTGCCTTTGGTTTTATGGACAGTTATTACCATTGGGTGGTGCTACAAGGTCAAATATTTCTTTTAAGTTCCCCTATTTAGAGGAAAAGTCCCCAGTTATTATAAAAAACCACCCATACTTCCTGGTTCTTTATGTACACTTTGATAACACATTCTTATATATTGATTTTAATGTTTTGCAATAGCTTTTGAAACCCTCATACATCCTATTTGTTTAAATTAAGGCCATGCACAAAGATTGTTTTCTTTGTTTTTATTTTTTCTAAATTCATTGCTGACTATTAAAAACTATCATGCTTGATACACTGCAAAAGTTAAAATGAGTATCACTAAAAAAGCCTTCTCTTTATGTGGTGCAATATGAAATACACCAAGACCGTGTCTTGACATTCTGAGATCTATGATGGACCCAGGTAAAGTTGTTAAAAGAATGAATAAAACTTTATTGAAATAATTTAGACACCCGTGTACCAGCAACAATTGATTTCATAGACCTACAGCATACTATCCCTTAGAATAAACGTTTACGATTTTCCTGATACTAAGATGCAGTCACATAATCTTTTGAGCATATTCCTATACAAATTATTTCTAATTTTAATAAGAAGGACATGACTGTATGGAATATTTGTACATACTTGTCATTATGCAGTATTTATTTAAAAGTTGGTGTTTCTTTTTTTTTATTTTTCACATGTCTGCACCTCGACTTGTGGTTTTGTCATGTAAATAGCACTATGCCAGTGACCATTGCTGCCCTGTACATAGTATGTTTTGAAAGTAAAGGGAATTCCAGTTGGAAAAAAAAGGGCAGATTATTCCTGTAATGAACACCAACTAATGTAAATCAAATTCATTCTGGTGATGGTATTTAACACTTTAAATAAAACATTTTCTTTACAGATGTTGTCCACAGTGCCTTCTCTGACCCCTCTCCCCACACAGTGCCAATCCCATTTCCTAAACTCACATATCATTTAAAGACAGCAAAATTATTGTTTCCTACCTCTCAATAACATAAGTGCACTGCTGGTCTTAGCGTTAGCCCTCAGAGAGCATTTCTTTAAAGTGCCAAAGGATTTCTGATCACATTATTAAAACTTGCTGTTTTTTAAAAAGATGGTTATTTTGGATTGAGGTGCTTTCTGACTAAATGACTCAGCAACTCACAGTTTTATGAGTGACATGAGTGAGATTTCTGAGTTAGTCATGGTTGTCACTGATAGCAGAGTCACAAAGACTCATGCTCAGGCTCTGCTAGTCCCTGGGCAAAGATGGCAAAGATGACGAAGATGGCTTTCTGCATATGTCTTTCTGCTCGTGTCAGTTCAGCTTTGTGGGAAGTGGAGGGTGTGCTTTCAATTGGGAAAGCACGGTAACCTGACTTATAACAACCTGTCTAGAGATTGGCTTCTATTTTGTGAATGTAAGTGGGTGAGAGAGCTCCTCCACATCCTTCCGGAGCAGTTCCTCAAACTGGGAGAAAGAGAACCCCAGCAGAGTTCTCATGGTAGATGTTCCAGGCTCTACACTTAAGAGCTAGTTTGGATTCACAATTAATAATCCAGCTGAAATCTAAGCCTAGTGCTCTCTCCCGTTTCCAAGGACTCAACTCCAGTCCAGTCCCCCATACCTATCCCATAATATTTTTCATCATTCAATATATACCCCCTACTCTAGTGAGCTATTTCTTTGCCCTTAATATTTTAATATAATCCTACTATAAAAATCCCCTTGCCTTCCTTGTATATCCTCTCCTGAAAAGCCCTTCTACTTTTCTCAAGGATGATCTTGCTAGTCCCTTCTTGCTGCTCCCAGCTCAGGACTTAGTTCCTTCAGCAGTTCCTGACCAAACCCTGACAACGTGGCTGCTGTTGATGTCAACACCTTCGCTTTCCCAAGGATTCCTGATGCCAATGCTCCACAAGCAACAATTAAGGACATGCTGGTCTTATAAGGGCTATGACAGAATCAGGCAAGAAATCACCAAAGCTGTCTACCCGTCACTGACTTAAGCTGTCACATTCTGTACATGTAAAAATCATGTGCTCTGCATGTTTGTCTCCACTCACTCAGCTCATGATGTCCTCAGTGTTCTGTGAGCATTCATGGACTGAATAAACAGAAGTTCACACATCCACCTTTAGTTAGTAAAATGTGAATTGAGAAGTAGTATGCAAGGGGAAATTTTAAACATGAACAAACAAAATCTGTGCCACTCAAATTTTCCATGTAGACTGACTCAGGTCACTTAATCTCTGAGGCATTCATTTCCTCACCTGGGAAATAAAGAGTTTAAGCTAGATACTCTTCTATCATTCTATCAACATTTTAACTACATGTAGGCTCCATTTTTTTCCTCTTTTGTATCCCCAATGCCAAGAACAATGCTTAACACATAGAAGCTCAATAAATATTTGTCCAATGCTATTTTTGAGGCACTATTTCAGGCATAGTAGAGAACAAAACAAATATAACAAAGGCCTGTCCTCATGGCCTTTCATTCTACTAATGAAGACACATTGGTTAAAAAATTACAAGTGTGATAACTTGCCTAAAGTGAAGCCCCCAGGATGCCATGGGAACATACATCAAAGTGTTTGAACCAAGCCTACGCAGTTAGCGAACGCTGATATCTAAAAAAATGAACAGGAATTAAATAGAAGGAGATGATGGCAGTGAGAGGGAGGAATAAGATGAAGAATATTCCAGGCAGAGAGAGCCACCAGTAAGAAATTTGAGAGAAGGAAATCAATATCACTTTTATTACTTTACAGTGTCTAAAACAGTGGTGAGCACGTAAGAAGTGCTTTGAGTGAATGAACGAATGAATGAATGAATACAGATTTCTGCATGCTGGGCTAAGTCTAAAGCACTGAGAGTTTTGTTAAGAAGCTGGTTTTGGTTTAAACTTGATGTAAGATCTAAAGCTCTATTTGTAAATGAGATAATTGATAAGGGCTAATCCTCTATGTAATTATGTTTAAAATGGTTCTCACAATGCTACAGAATCCTTAATCCCATTAAATTGTTAGGTCTTTGAACATAGGTTCCAAAGCCTGAAATTCTGTACCCAGCATAGCACCTCTCTCCGTGCTGGGCACAATTATAGGTGCCAAATACTCAGCCTTAACAGTGAAGTTCCCTCTCAAATATTCTCAGAAAGGTACTTGTCATCAACATGGAAGATTCCTGAGTTCTGAGATTTATGTTTGTAGTTTGCATACAGATGAGTCAAAAAGACTCAAAACCCAGGATTTCCTTAATGCCTTTTGAGTCCTGTCATTTTGCCTTGAGGCAGGGAACACTAACTATCGCTTCCTATGCTTCCTTTTCTGATCCATCCATATTGTTTCTAGAGACCTGCCATTCCTCCTGGCCCCAATGGATGGTGGTATAGGAAGTATAAATTCTTAAACTGGGTCAATCTGTACCTAGCCTGTGAAGATTTGTTATTTTTTTTGTTTGTTTTATTTTGTTTTGCCTTGATACCAAAGAGACCAGTGACAGAAGCTATTAGATGCAAGGGTGCCTGGTGTGGGGATGGAGGGGCCAGGAGCTGTTTTCTAACATATGGTGGAAGTTGGTTTACAATAGGAGAGAAGAAAGTGATCAAAGCCAAGTGGAGTCAAGAATTGAAGAGAGAGTCCTACAGGTTTCACATTTCTGGTTCCATATTACTGAAGATCAGCTGCATCTTTATTCTTCCAAGAAAGCTCACACATTCTAGCTGTAGTGAGTTGGGGTTCCTGCTGCTTGAGGTCATGAGTCCTAATTAATACATTTGGCCAAGGACAAATCTAATAAAACTGTAGAATCTCGAAGGAGTCACTGAGGTTACCTAGGGCAACCTTATAGCATTAAAGGACTCCCTAATAAGTGGCCATCCAACCTCTGCTTGAGTGGACAGAGAAATAAACGTTGCAATGCATCCCATTCCATAGTCTCTGTTAGATTCTCCTTCCTAACACTTAGCTTAAATCTCCCTTCCAGCATTTTATACTTTCTGGGACTAGCACTACCTTCTAGAAATATACAGCAAAGGGCTGATCCCTCTTCCACGAGATAGTCCTTCAAATATGTTAAGCTATCTATCTTATTATCTCCAACTTTTAGAAAGTAGAATAGCATCTTTGTCAAAAATACCTATTCTAGGTAAGAATGCCTGAATTTAAATATATGCTCCCTCACTTACTAGGTATATAACATTGAATGAGCCATTTTTCCTCTCTAAGTTTGTTTTCTTATCTATAAAATGGGGGAAGTGGGGTTAATAATAGTACCCGACTCACAAGATTTTTGAGAGGATTAAATGAAGTAACATAGATAAGGGACTAGCACAACACCAGACATATAATTAATAAGGATCTGCTACTGCTGTGGTGATGGTGATTGTAATTATTACTACCATTATTTATTCTCTTTTCCAGGCACTTCTAATGCCTTCAACCACCTGTCACTTACTAGAAACCATGTCATCTTGTTCGTCTTCTATATACCCTCTCCAGGGTTATTAAGCAAGTAACTCCAGATGGGTACTAGCCCACGAAGAGTACTATGGACTCTGCCTGCTTATCTAGACACAAGCCATGATTCCACTGCCTTTTTCTGCAGCTACCTCACATGGCTTTTTCAGACTGGGCTGGTGGGCCACCAACTCTCTCGTATCCTCCATGTAAATTGCTTCCTTATTCTGCCCTTGTGGAATTTCATTTCTAGCCAAGCACAGATATAAAAGTTCACTCTTGCTCAATTTTTTCTTCTTGGTTTTGTCCAGTATTCCAAATATTCATTTGTCCAATGATTCCTGCCAAAATCATTATGAATAAACCTGGCATTCACTCCAAATTATGCTGAAAGCTTAAGATTCATTAAACATATTAGCTTTCACTGCCACCTCTGTGTCACCTGCAAATCTGATAAGGGCGTTTTCTCTATCTTCATGTACGTCTCTGATAAAATGTTGACTAAAATAGGGCCAAGATCTAGGCTTTGTAACTCTATACTGATATAAATAGTGGTTACTATAAATCTAACACATTACAGTTTACAAAATGACTTTAACAAACATGATCTAAGTTAATCCTTATGACTACCTTATGAAGTGAGTAGTAGCATTATCTTTATTTTGCAGATAAGAAAACTATAATTCATTTAGTTCAAATATGTGACCAAAGTCCCACATCTGAGAGGTGGCATATCCAGATGCTAACCTACATCTTCTGACAGTTCAGTCAATTGTAAGACCACTTCATTTGACTGTAATCAACCACATACTTTCCCATTTTATCCACAGAGAATTCATTAGGGTTGTTCTCAAACAATTTGCTGAAATATAGATATGCTACATTTACTATATTTTCCTTGTAGAGCAATTTGGGTGGCAGCAGGAAGCACGGGAGGCAGGTTAGGGTGGTGAGGGAGGAAGAAGTTGCTGGTTATAATAATACTTATTTTTCTGAATTATTGGGATTGGACTAGATCAGGTATATGGGCTCAACAGAAAATGATCACCCACTAACGGCAGCTGTTTTTATTATTATGAACTTCAACTCCTGTTCTTCAGTTTAGTTAGTTTGTTTTACCATTTCCAGTTGAAGACTATTCTAGTTGCAGACAAGAGAAGAAAAAAGTAATTAGAAAATGCTTTAGCATTTTCTCCCCACCATTACCTCTGGGTAGTAGAAGGAATCTTCTCCTTCCTTGACAACTGCTTGCACTGAAAAGAACTAAAAGGGTAATTTTTATTACCTTCAGCATTTTTCCAGCCTTACTGGAATCTAACCTTCAGCCTCCGGCCTCTCTTCCTACCGGCACGTGCCCTGGTCTTTGATGCTCCCACTTATGGGCCCAGCCTCCTCCTCTAATATTTATATGTTAAAATCTGAGTTCATCAGTAGTGC